CCATGAGTCGCCGGCAACAGCATAGGCTGTAGCCCCTGTGGCAGTGGGTTGCCATGGGCTACCGTGTATAGCCAGCAGCCAGCGTGAGCGGCCAGCAGCCGCAGTGAGCGGCCGTCCAGAAGCCAGCAACTGATCTGCCTCGCCCAGGAAGAGCACAATGATGGTGCCAACTTGGGCCAATGAAGCAACGTCCTCCACAACTAGACTGAAGAACAAAAGCATAGCAACTTGTGTGTTCCCCTTCCCCCAATTTCCCAGTGCTCTTCCCATCCCTCCAATTCCCCAATTAAAAAAAAAAAAAGAATAGCAGATGTGGCAGGGGACAAAAGAGGCCAAAGCATACACCTTTTGTTGAATCTAATATAATAAATTCTTGCTCAATCAAATTGAAGTAATACCAGGTCTGAAACTTAGCCCGAAGGTTTCATTCTTCGGTCCATATCACCCTGCTCCAGTCTCTTCTACGTGGACGAGGTCACGTAGGTATCGAGCTCCTCCCACACGCAGGACATCGTGGCAGACGCAGACGGGGGATCTGAATAAAAAGCTCTAGAATCAAGTGAGGTGATAAAATAAATACATGAGTAAGAAAGATGAGCTGTGAGGAACGCCACAGCTGAGATTCAAAGGGCTCTGCAGTTACAAGGAGGGTGTGGTACCATCTAGATGGGGAGCCATGAAAGCTTCCACTCATTTACTGAACAAATCGAGATGGAGGGGCCACCTTCTGTTCCAAGGCCGCCCAAGGTGCTTCAGGGGAGAGCTCGGAGCATAAGAGGAGCATCTGGTCTTTCTCTTCCTATGACCCCCAAATATAAATGCTGAGCTCAGAACTTGTCTTCTTCTGAAGTGCTCATTAGAGAGGCATTCCAGTCCAGTCTTTTTTTCTTTTTCTTTTTTTCCTAAGCAAAGGCATTCTGGGAGCGGGAGGTGATAATGTGCCTGCTCCCTCAGGACGGCACTCTCCCGGGTGGCGGGGCTCCTTTCCTCCCAGGAACTCATTCACATCACAGCCAGTGTTTGCTCCCACCTTCAGGGTCTCCCGATGAAGTGCCGACTGCACGTGAGAGCTCCCCACACAATCTGCCTTTGGTTTCTTTCAGGCTCTTCTTCCCTGGAAGCCACCCCGTCAGAGGTGTGCAGGTCATGAAAGTTGGCAAGTTGCAGCTACATCAGGGCATGTTTCCCCAGGCGATGAAGAACCTGAGACTGGTGAGTGCCGCATCTCATGTCACCGCCAGGGACGCCTGTCTCTGGCTGTTGCCAGGCCTCTTCCTTGTGATTCGTAGCAACTCCACACACGCGTGTGTCTGCCTGCGCACATGCACCCACACATGTGTGCACACACGCCTGCCCATAAGTGCTTAACAGCCGGCTCTGAAAAAAAAAAAAACTGATTTGGGATGTTTGCCGATGTCTGTGGTATAAACATGCCCGACACGGTTGATTTTAAACTGCCGATGTAAAATCAACCAGCTGACAAAACTCATGACAATTTAATAATCAGCTCTCGCTAACGGTGAATGGTCAGCCTTCCCCAAGCCTCCCCGCCCACTGAGCACAGCACACAGCCCATATTCCGCCTGGTACCAAAGAGAAGCCCAAACATGGACACTGATAGTTGCCAAATGAAAAACCTTGCAGCAGCCTCAGAAAGTCTTCCCTGAGGACTGGGGTTAAGCCATGGCCTTACCCCGAACTTCCTGTTTAGCTCTGGAAAAGTCTCTGAATCTCTTGCTGGGTTCTGATGATCAACCAAAATGCAAATGTGCACCCCTGGCAGTGTTACATACTAGAGAGAGCACTTGGATTTAGAGTCGGTAGGTTCAGCTTCCGTTCCCACCATTTACTGGTTTTGTCATTTGAGGCAATCTTTGTTTAATCTCTTTGAATATAATTTTCTTATTTTTATTTTATTTATTTTTTTAGCTGAGCCATCCTGCTACCTGTTGGCAGCTCAGCGGCTGCTCAGCTCGGGCCGGGAATCAAACTGCTGTTGCTCAGAGCTCAGACTCTTGAGCGAGCTCTTAACCAACTGAGCCATTCGGCCGGCCCCTTAGTTTTCTTATTTTTAAAATGAGGATAATACCGACCCAGTAGAGTTGTTTTGGGAAGTAAATGAGGTCATGTGTGAGAGTGTGTTTTGCCAAGTCCCAAGCATTTTGAGACTCTAAAGGGTTATTATTTTATAGGAACTCATGTTCTGACCACTCCCCAACTAACCGGTCCCTTTAGCACCGCGTTTGTAGTTTGGGGTTCTATGGTATTTCCCCTTTTGAACAATTACGTTGTGTAACCGCTTCCTAGCAGTTCACATGGGTAGGTTCTGTTTTCCTAAGGCGAGTGGGAATTCCTCAAGGGACCTTGACTTATGTACCTTTTGTAGCCCCTAGCGCCATCTAACATAGACACACATGCCCCAAATGCAGCAAGTTCTAGCAAATCCATACTAGAATGAATGGATTTTTTAATGAAGAGAGGACTTTAAAAGTCCCACCCTGGCCTCGTTTTTTTCAGCTGTATTTAGTTAGTAAACCAGGTCTTCTCAGGACCTCTGTGGACCATTTGCTAGCAGAGGGATGACCTGCACACATCCATCTCTTCACAAGCTCATATGACTTATAAGCTTAGAAGCAGATCAGTTTGGTGCTGCAGAAAGCCTTTTCCCCTGAGCCATCTCAGAGCTCTGGTAACCCGGAGAGGGGAGAGGGAAAATATACTCTTTGGCTTTTAAAACTAATATTCTCCTTAGACTGGCACACCTCCCCCCACCTCCCCAGATATCTTTCTTGTCTTAGAAACTCTGGAAATAATGGGATGGAATAGCTGGAATCAGGATTTCAAAGGCTGAGTGTGGAACAGAAATCAGAAAAACTTCAGAATCAGAAATTTGTTACAGATTCCATTAGGCCCCAGCCTCCTGCAGGAAAGGAATCCACTTAGCCCCGCTCTGATTTGGTTTAGGCTTCCGTCTCCGCGGGGCTCGCTGCCACAGGACTGTCCTGGGGTTTCTTCACAGCGCTTCCTGCCTGCTTTCTCCCGTCTCGAATCGACTTTCATTTCTTTCCGTTTATTTCTTGGAAGAATTTTATTAGCCACTAATTTGACTTCTTGGACCTCAAGGGGGACCGTCCTTCTCAGGGCTATCTTGTCAGCGAGCCCGTTTCTTTTATGTGAGCTCCCTCACCCTGTGCCCGGCGAGCAGCTTTGTTAGCAGTGCTTTATTAGCTGAAGTCAGGTTGGAAAACGTCAGACTTCTTTCCCTCCAATAACCATATTTTATTTAGATGTAAATTTCTTACATTACACTGTAATGGTTTTCTCCTTTCTCATTGCATTTTGTTGAAGCATTTTGCATGTTGAGATTTTTTTATCTTTCCTGGGCCTGAACACAAAATGCAGGCCACACATCCCAGACTTTACTCCTCTCATTCCTACAGTTATTAGCTAATATAGCACGTGCAGGAAAAGCTCAAAGCACAACCACACTGGCCTCTATCTACTCCAGCATGCACCCTGATTTACAGCCCCCCACAACTGGCTGATGTGGAGCATGCAATTCTGTTGTTCCCATTTCTTAAGCTGCTACAGTGATTCTTAACCTCTTTGGTTATGTTGTTGTTTAGGAATCTGATGAGAACCACTGACTCGCCAAATAAAAATGTACAAACACTCAACATTTTGTATATTTAGTGGGGAATGGGGACTTTGGGACCGCCTGAAGCTTCTCCATGGATTCCAAATGCCCACAGCCTCTAAGTTAAAAAAACTCTCTACTCGGCATGTAACATCACACCTTAATATGGGGCAGGTGGGACAGGGAGAAAGAGGGGGAGAAGAGAGCATGCTGACTGAGGTTCCATAATCATCAATAATGCCTTCGAAGGGTTGTTTGGAAGCCCCTGGCTCTGATACTTAGGAATGTCCCCTACTGACCCCCAAATAAAGAATATTAGTTTCAAGAGTATGCTTCTAAAGTAAAAAAGGAGAAGATAATTAAGAGAATGGTCAGTAAAATGAAAGCGTAGTGATTAAGCCATATTAAAAGAAATAAGCAGAAATTTACTCAACAGTAAGTGTAAGCCCAGCAGCAGGAAGGAGACAAGTGGGAACCTGGACTTACACCTCCACCTGGCAGTAACAAGATGTCATCCCCCTTCTCCTTCTGGAGCAATGTCAGAGGAAGGTTTAAATAAAATGCAGAATCTCGACAAGATACTCAGAATGTTCAAGTTTCAGCTGGAAATCACTGATTGTACCATGAACCAGGAAGATCTCAATTGTCCTGAAAAAGAAAAAAAAAGACAATCAATATATGCCAACTCCAAGATAACAGAGATGTTAGAATTATCTGACAAAGATTTTAAAGTAGCCATCATAAAAATGCTCCAATGAACAATTACAAACACCCTCAAAACAAATGAAAACATAGAAGGTCTTATGTTTAAAACTTTGCTAAAACTTAGCAAAGAAATAGAAGATATAAAGGAGAAGCAAATAGAAATTTAAGAACTGATAAATACAATTACCAGCATAAACAGATTGGAGCTTAACAACAGAATGGAGAAGACAGAGGAATGATTAATAAACATGAAGACAGAGCAATAGAAGCAACCTAATCTGAAAAACAGAAAGAAAATTAGTTTTAAAAAAAGGCAAAGTTGAACAGAGCCTCAGGGACCTATGGGACCAATAATGAAAGATATAACATTTGGAGTCCCAAAAGTAGAAGAGAGAAAATAGGATGGGAAAAGTACTTGAAGAATAATGGTGGAGGCATCCAAATTGGAAAGAAAGAAGTAAAGTTATTTCTGTTCACAGATAATATAGTTTTATATGTAGAAACCCCTAAAGATTCCACACAAAACAAAAAACTGTTAAAACTAATAAATCCAGCAAAGTAGCAGGATATAAAATCAACATGCAAAAATCAGATGCGTTTCTATATACTGATAGTGAACAATCCAAAAAGCAAATTAAGGAAAGAGTTTCATTTACAATAGCATCTAACAAATAAAATACTTAGGAATTAACTTAACCAAGGAGATGAAAAGCTTATGAGTATACACTGAAAACTATAAAACATTGATGAAAAATTAAGACATGAATAGAATAACTTCCACGTTCATGATTAGAAGATTTAATATTGTTAAGCTGTTATACTGTCCAAAGCAATCTACAGATTGAGTACAGTCTCTATCAAAATTCCAATGATTTTTTTTCAGAAATAGAAAAATCCATACTAAAATATATATGAAACATCCAGGGACCCCAAATAGCCAAAACAATGTTGAAAAAGAAGTAAAAAGTTGGAAGACATACTTGATTTCAAAATTTACACAGTTCCAGTAATCAAAACAGTATGGTAGTAGCATAAAGAAGGCCAGATAGACCAATGGAATCGAATAGAGAGCCCAGAAATAAACCTCACACGTATGATAAAATGATTTTTGACAAAGGTATCAAGGCCATTCAATGGGGAAAGGACAGTCTCTTCAACAAATGGCGTTGGGAAAACTGAATAACCACATGCAAAGGAATGAAGTTGGACCTTTACCTAACATCATATTTAAAAAGTAACTCAAGATAGATCAAAGACCTAAATATGAGCTAAAACTATAAAATCCATAGAAGAAAACATAGAGCAAAAGCTTCATGACATTGGATTTGGCAATTTCTTGGCTATGACACCAAGGCACAGGCAACAATGACAAAAAGTAGACATACTAGACTTCATTAAAGTTAAAAACTTCTGTGCATCAATGGACCTATTAACAATAAAAAGCCAACCCACAGAATGGGACAGAATATTTGTAGATCACATATCTGATAAGGGATTAATATCCAGAATATATAGAGAACTCCTAAAACACAGCAACAAAAGCAACTGAATTCAAAAGTGGGCAGGGCTGGCCGAGTGGCGCATTGGTTAAGAACAGGCTTGGGAGCGCCAGCTCTGAGCAGCAGGTCCCCAGTTCGGATCCCACATGAGGGCCAGTAATGCTGCGCCCTCTACAGCTAAGATGGTGAACAACAGCTCGACCTGGATCTGGGCTGCTGTGAGTCACTGGCAACGGCATAGGCTGCAGTAGGCTGCTGTGAGCTACCATGAGCTACGTGAGTGACCGGCAGCTGGCATAAGCTGCCAAGAACCATGGTGAGCGGCTGTCCAGTGGCTGGCGAGCGACTGCCTCACTTGGGAAGAGCGCAAT